AGTTGTTTTATTGGGTTTATTACTCAAACTATTTCATTTCAACTAAGTAGCAAAGATTATGCCTTTATTCATGTATCCCTCAGCAGCATCTAAAAGGAATATAACATTGTTTTTTGTTTCATTCTTATTTTGAGTTGTTCAACAAATAGTGCTATATTTCACTTCAATTAGACTAAAAAAATCAAACACAGAAAAACCCCTAGCATTTCTCTCTGCATACTTGAGTAAGGGGGAGAAAAACTGAACAAAATGTGGGTTTTAATTACAAAGAGAAAGAGCAGAGCAAATGCATGCTCCGAATGAAATGTGATCTTGCCTGTCCTGGAACTAGCAAAGGGCTGCTTTGTAGTTCACATCTTTTCCATGTGTGGGCTTAATTTCAAGCAGATGTTAGTTTACATCTTTATAGAATAGTATGTCATGAGTTTTCAAAGTACCCTGTAACAATAAACAAATGTGGTCTGGTATGCCACAGGTAGGATGCACAGCACTGATTATTTTAAAAATTGCTTGATTATCTTCACCAAATACATGCCGTACACTGACCAGTTCTTTCTTTGAAATGTATTTGCATTTAGTGAATACAGAGCATAACATTTGTAGACCATCTCATCTTTAAAAGAGACAAACCTATAGTGATGGCCTTCCTCCTGCCCCTTCCATGCTCTCGGCACTGAACTATATACATCAGTTCTTGCAGTCCATTTTGTCTGCTTGTTTTTATAGTGCTGCTTCTTAGGCTCTTTATCTTTCCCTTCCCCGTTCCTCCCATCTCTTTTCCTCTTTAATGCTTTATATGTTTGAGAATCATTGCCCTGTAATTCCCCAATAGCATTAGATAGCTGCCGACTCATTCCTGTATTTGGTGCTTGAATGGAAGATAGTGGGTATTAAGAGAATCTTCCCTTTGACTGTTTGGGCTGTTTGGGGAGTTGAAAAAAGTGAGCAGTTGTGGGTATCAGCAAGATCTTCCACTTACATCTCTTTCCCTGTCGTGAACATGGCAAATGAACACTAATTTTGTTAGGTCTAGAAAACAGCTGAATTACAACTGTCCACACATTGTTGATATATTTTTATATTCATGGTTATTTGTAGAACAGTTTTGTTTCTGTGCTTTTTCAGAATTGAAAGAAAAATCACTTACACTCCTACAACCAGTTTTGAAGTTTAAAATGTATATTTTCCTCTTTCGTTAATCTTGGCTCCTTAAATACTTCTCATGTTTTGCTGGGAGAAATTGGAGCATGGTTGCTTGCAATCTCAGCCCAGGAAGGGAACTACTCAGTTGGCAGTTTCCAGTTTCTTGCTTAAGGGTTGCATGAACCAGATGGGCCACAGCCCAGACCCTTAAGATTGTAAGGAAGCACCTGCATCTACCATTAGCACAAAACCTTTACTTGAAGTTCTTCCAGAGTGTGTAAAGTTATGTGGCTATCTGTTCGTGTAGTGTTTATTTAAGAGCCCGTGTTTTAAACAGCAGAATGTCTATTTTAAGCTCCTGTAGTGATAGCACCTTGGCATTTATCTCCTTTTTTTTCCTTTTAAACATGAGGACATAAAGAGTGATTTTCTTTAATATCATATTCTGCTAAGCATTACTGGTCCTCTGTTGATAGTTTTCTGCTTGATTGCTTGTTCAATGATGCATGCTTTTTCTCCTGAAGCTGTCACAGTAACAAATACTTTCATCAGTCCCAATTGGAGAATGCCAACATAATAATTGTGTTAGAACCACATGCTTATCCAATAGGCTGGTTATTAACAGCAGTGTTTTGTTATTGTTGTTGTTGATAAGCAGAAAAATCTTTACTTAGTATATTATGTAACTATGCTACTAATGATGGGTTTTGGTAATTCTAATTAAAGATTAATGAGCATTGCTATAGTTTGAGAAACATTAGTTTTGGTTTTGGCTTTACCCATTTAACTTTGTTACCTTAGGCGAATCTAGCTTGATGATACAATAAGTATGTTAGACTAGATAATTTACCAGTACCTGGAAAATAGTATTGACTAAATATTGTTTACCAACTATTATTACCTGCTATAAATGAAAGAGAACCATGCCTCTGTGGATTTTCATTTTATTAGGAAATGCAACCCTGGTTTTTTTTTTCCCCCTCCTTTGGACTACACCACATATAGCAACGAGTTTCCATTTTTCTGGATGGTGCAGTAAAGGCCTACCCATATCTGAGATGCTGACAGTTACAAGCATGGTAATTATGGCATGTGTGTGTGTTGCAATTGTGTTCTCTTGATAGTAGTGATTTGTTTAAGAAACCATCTCACAAATAAAGGAGGAAATGTTAAGTTTGAGCTCTTGGAACTATTTTAAGAATATGGTTGTTTACATAGAGTTACGCCTACCTTTATTGTTGACTGTTCACAGCCGAATAAGCTATTTCCATTGTTTTCTGTCATATAACATCAGTTTGAATGAGTGACACTTGTCAGCTTTGGGGTTCTAAATATAGTGATCACTGATACAGTTTGTGGGGCTCACCTGTGCTTGGTTCATCCATGCTCTGTATTTCCATATTAGCAGCTTGTCCTCAATTTCTGTCCTTTAGGTTGTGGCTACATGGTCAAGTAATGACTTTCAGATATTATATGATAAAGTTTGGGTGGGGGCAGAGCTACTTATGGTGAGTTATAGAATAGTTCCATAATATGTTTTGTAATTGTTTTCATAAACTGACATGAATCTTTTCTAGTAGTAGACCAGTTTTTTTGTGATTCATCTGGTAATTCATGGATGTTTTGACGAACAGGAATTGCATGCCACCAGACACTTACCATCTGACATAGTGGTGTCTCCTATGATTAAAATATGAACAGCTATTAATTTGTTTAACCTGATAGTGGAAACTTAGTTTTATGTTTCACCGCTTTCTGAATATTTTGGCCAAAAATCAGCTTCAGTCGATTGTTCCCGTTTCTCACAGCCAGAGTAATTAGAGAGCTGCCAGCTTACTTTGGTTGGCTTACACAAGTGTGGGGCACTTTTCATTTAACTTTATCTAGATAGTTATTCAGCTCTCAGGATGTAATTACAAAATATATGCTAGAAATCAACTTTGGATTTTACTTGACTAATGTACATAATATTCCTAAAGGGGTTGTGGAAAAAGACATGGGAAAGAAAAGAATGTTTTCTGTGTAGTGTAGGTCCAGTTGTGTTCTTGTTCATAGGCATTTTGAATTGTAAATACCCAAGAATAGGAAGTCATATGTGGGTCTGATAGTTAACTATTCCCTCTTTTGTAGTATTGGTTTCAAACATAATTGCTATGCTTTGATCTTGCCATTTTACTATGTTTCTTCTAGCTGACATGCCTTTTTTCCCTGTCTTTTCCTTGCATGATGTGGTAGTAAGGGTTCTTTGCAGAATCTTCTAATATTGAACAAGACTGGTTTCCAGTGTAATACTGTTATTACTCTTGCTTGTAGCTATCCACCCATGTGACCACAGTGTACAGACAGCATCTCTGGAGCGCACCTAGTCAATCTCCTTTAAAGCCGGCTTCTCTATTGGACAGCTAGACATCTCCACAGACCTGTCAGTCACAGCAAACTTAACATCAAGTCATATATCTTGGCCTGACCCATCTTTCCTGGATATCCTATTTCCATGGATACCCTTACCCAGTATCCCATAAGGTGCCGGGATTTGTTTTCTCCTTGTCCATATTCAGGATGGCCTCTGCCTTTCCCACAAGATTCAGTTCTTATAAGCTCCCTGATTGCTTTGGCCTCAGTAAAGAATTATGCCTGGATTACTGTAGCCATCTCCCAGATGGCTTTCTGTTTCTGGCTCTCATTTTATGCATTATAGTCAGGTTGGGCTGTTGAAACAAGAATCTTCTCACAATATTAAAGTTCTTGACCTCTAGAACTACCCAATTTCAGGCTGTGTCCATGTGAAATCGTGTATCAGGGCTTTCTTCTTAGACTAAACAGCAGTCTACTATACTGACATAGTGTGTTTTAAAAGGGTCACTTGTGTAGTATGTGAATGTGCCTTAAAACAATTGTACTTTAGTTTCCCTTTTAAAACTCTGTTCATGTGTGTACCATTTAAAAGTTAGCTGTGATATTACCCATTGGCTAGGGTGCCAGCCCTGAGAACACTCTCTGGGACAGCTGTGCTGGAGAGGGAGCAGAGGAGCTTGAGAGGGCCCCACCCTGCCTGCTGCCTTTGTGGGCTAGGTTTGCTTTCCTTGAGAAGTCCCTCTTTGCTAGTGTAAATTTAGACTTGTAATTATTTTTAGATTTAATTAATTTTTCTTTCATTAGTTGTGATGTAGTAAATTTTTAGGTGTATTCTTTTGCTCTATAATTAATATATTTAGTTTGGATTAGGATCTTTATTACACACACACACACACACACACACAGTGAGATTGGGTAGGGTAGAGACTTGGAGTCTTAATTTTTGGCTTTAATCATTTCAGAGAAGCTTAGCTGTTGGAACAGTGCTGGTGAATCACAGGATTGACCACCGGACAGCAAAGCAGTAATTCAGTTCTGCTTCAGTACGTTTTTTAATTGCTGCTGAGCACCCAGCATTTACAGTTGGTTCTTATACTACCTAACATTTCTATAGATTTTGGTTTCAGTGTGTGAAAGTGTAGTGCAATGTGTCTCATTACTTTCTAATATTGCCGATATTTCCCCTTAATACAGACCAAAGGCTGAGAGTCAGAAGAACCCTTAAACATTAATTTTGTGTTAGCTGTTGTATAACTAGTTCAAGTCAAGTAAAAGTAATCACTGCGGCTTGAGTCTGGGGGGTTTTGAGTTCCAAGTGTACAGTTACTCCATTGTGACGTGTGATTTGAGAGGTTTTGCGCTTCTGAGCTTTCCTCATTAACTGCCTTCTTCCTCTTCTCTGCATCCTCTTTAACCCCCATTTCACCCCTTTGTCCCTTTACCACTACACGGAAAGTGTGAAAGCATCTAAGATACTGTTTTGTGTTTTTATTTTGTTGTAGTATAAGCTGTAACCATGACTACTGAAGTTGGCTCTGCATCTGAAGTAAAGAAGGGCTCTGACCAGGCAGGAGCAGATGTACCTAAGGAGAAAGTTAAAGAAGCAACAGAAAATGAGCAGAATCAGTTATCTGAGCCCGAGGAGGGGAAAGGTTCCCAGCAGGGTCCTGCTGTTGAAAGCCAAAGTAGTCCCCGGCGCCGGAAAAGAGACAAGGACCCATCTGAGAGCAGAGGCATCTCTCGGTTCATACCCCCATGGCTTAAGAAGCAGAAGTCTTACAACTTAGTAGTGGCCAAAGATGGAGGAGATAAAAAAGAGCCTACCCAAGCTGATGCACAAGAGCAGATCTTGGATAAAGAGGATTCCGTTCCTGAAGAAGAGAGTCGGGCCAAGGGCGATGCGGAAGAAATGGCTCAGAGGAAACACCTCGAGGTTAAGGTGGAGGTCAGGGAAGAAAAGCCTTCCTTGAAAGCTAGTGCTGAGACCCAGGTGCGTTTCAGAAGACTGGGAATGGGAACACAGCCAGCAACCCAGGGAAAGAGGTTGACTTGTTTTAGGTCATTTCCTGTTTCTGTGTTCAGATGCTGCCTCAACCTTAGGTATCTGGGATATAGAACTTGGACTGTTGTGCATTAGTATTCCCTGTGAGTCTTAAAAATTATTCCCCAAACAGCAAAGCAAAAGAGCACCACTGCAGCAACAGCACACACCCTCTCTTAAGCTTCCAGGTTTCTGATTAGGTTGAGCAGCCTGCCGGGCCCTCCCACCTTCTGTTAAATCCATACCCTTTTATTTATCTGTGCTTTATTTATGTATTGAGTTGAGAGTAAATAGTGGATTGGGTATATTTTGTTTGCTCGTGGAAACCTAGGTTCTGCTGTGGTTTAAGGTTTTAGAAATTTTGTTATCCGAATGCTATTTTTAGTATAGCCACTGGGATATAGTTTCTTTTATTCATTTAATGCCCAGATCACGAATCTGGCAAAATGAAGGATAGAAAATATCCTTTCTCCCATCATTTTTGAGTCTTAAAAAGCTTAAATTTAGAGTAGATTGTAATTCTCATTAAAGATTTTCCTTGGGGCTGAGGATGTGGCTGGAGCACTGCCTACCACATTTAGAACCCTGGAAGACAGGGTTTCTCTGTAGCTTTGGTGCCCATCCTGGAACGCTCTCTGTAGATCAGGCTGGCCTCGAACTCACAGAGATCTCTCCACCTGCCTCTGCCTCCTGAGTGCTGGGATTAAAGGCATGTGCCACCACCGCCTGGCATGATTCTTTTTTCTATGTCGTCTTCTACAAGTTATCTTTAATGTGGGCTTAATTTTTCCTTGGTAGCCTGCTGAAGAAGTGAAGAAGGACAGCGAAGAGGAAAAGATAAAGGAAGCACAGGAGGACAAACTGGAAGGAGAGACAGCCAAGAGGGAGACCAAGGAAGTGCAGACCAGTGAGCTGAAAGCAGAGCTGGCCTCTCAGAAAGCCACCAGGAAGAGCAAGACTATCGTGGCCAAAGTGACCCTCCTAGATGGCACTGAATACAGCTGTGACCTTGAGGTGAGGCAGGGACTGTGCAGAGTCCTCTCAGTGGGCGGAATGAAAGTTGGTGGCGTGACATGTGGGACATGTTTCTTGTTGCACCAAGTTCTTATTGGGCAGTTTATTGATTAGGTTTTAAACACAATACCAATCATGCAGAAGAGTCATTTCCATTTCGAATGGCACTTCCTGAGCAGGGTGGAGCAGGGATGATGATGTGCTGTGTGTACTCACTGCTGTGTGGTGTGCATCTGTGGTGAATGTTCGCTTCTGACTGTCACCTCTATAGAATGTCTTACTTGAGAAATGGTAGTTGTAAGGTGACTTTCGGATTCATAAAATCCTAGCAGTACATTCTTATCCATAGAAAGGATGATATAAACCTAGGTCATTCATTTTTGTTTCATTTAGTAAAAAAGTAACTGTGATTTGTAAAATAGGTGATTTATTAGCACCAGCTTCTTAGGATTTGTGTTTGCCTATTTCTTTTCACAGTGACATTTGCTCATATGCCATGCACTAATAGTTAATGTCCACTAACTGTGTTTCATATAAGACTCCATTCTCAACATTACAGTGAAATACAAAGGCTTATTCTCAGTAACTGCTGGGTGGTGGAGGTGCCAGCTTGGGGCTTTAGTACCTTGGATTAAAAATTACCTTTCCTAAAATATTTTGTTATAATAGCAAGAACCAATTAAGAGAAGGACTTTTAATTCTTTGCTACTCTATTTTTGAAATGCCTCAAGTACCAAAACAGTTACACACACAGAAGAGATTCCAGTGGTTCTCAACTTGTAGGTTGTGACCCCTTTGAGGGTTTGAGGGTCACATACCAGGTATTCTGCATACCAGATATTTATGTTATGATTTATACAGTAGAAAAATTATAGTTGTGAAGTGGCAATGAAATAATTTTATGGTTGGAGGTCAGCACAGCATGAGGAACTGTATTAAAGGGTCACAGTGTTAGGAAGGTTGAGAACTGCTGGATTAGACTGAGAAATACGTTGTCAAGGTCAATAGATTAGGATCTGAGGAGGAGCTGCCTTCTGTTTCCAAGATGGTGTCTTTCTCTTGATCCCTCATGGGCTGCAATGAGTGAAATGGCTCCTTACATGGTAGAGGGCACCTAGCAGCTCCTTCAGCCTTTTGTATGAGGGCACTAAGGTCATTCATGAAGATGGAGCCCTCATGACGTAAGAGGCCACATCCTTTAACAGCACCACTTTGCCATGTCTAGAGACAGTCTGAGGCTGCCAACATCAACTTAGAGAGAAACTTAGAGCATATCTGCTAACACCAGCAATAAGACAGGGACGCATGCTCTCTACCTAGTATTCACTATCATGTTGAGTTGAAGTCTTAGCTAGAGCAATATACAACCGAAAGAAATCAAGGAACAAATAGAAAAGGAAGAAGTTAAAGTACCTTTATTTTTGTAGATATGATTTTGTACATAAGTGACCCCCAAAACTCCACCAGGATACTTTTGTAGCAGACAAGCAGTTTCAGCAAACAAGCACCTTCAGCAAAGTATTGGGATATAAGAACCAACACAAAGAATATTCTGTTTGTTTTTCTCTTGATTATATTTTTGTTGCAAATTTATTGTTTTAATTTTTTTTCTCCAAGGCAACAGCCAAGTTTTATTTACTGTTTCTCTTATTTCTTTTCTGTTTTGTAACATTTTATTTCCTTTGGAATTTTTCATATGTATGATTTAAAAATTTAAATGTGTGCAGGAGTATACACATAGATGTGTTGTGGGAAGAGAATTTTTTTTCAGATTCCCAGTTTTTTGCTATATTGTGCTCAGAATGTGGTCTAAAGTAGAGGTTTTCTTGTATTGAAGACTCCTTGGAAGCAATGTATCTAGTCAGCACAGTTTTCTTTGAGTTTGGTAAGCAAGGCATTCTTTTCTTTATATAAAGTTTTGGATCTGTCCTTGATCAGATCAAGTCTGGTCTGTACTGTCTGTACTGGTCTGTACTGCTTTGACTGTTGGTTTCTAAGTGTGTTAAAATGGCTCTGTAATGGTAACATTGGTAATTTGTCTTAGTTTTCCTGTAAATGTGTATTTTCTTAAATTTAAGAATAGATCATTAGGCTGTCAAGAATCATATATTCTTACATAGTTTTTATTATTGCTGTGTTATAATTTAAATTCATTTTATTTGATACTAGTATTACTGTAGTGACTTTATTTTGGTTAGGAACTGGTCCACCTTCTGCTATTTCTTTTAATACTGAAATGACTTGTTCTAAAATTATAGTCTGTCTTTTAACTGGCGAATTTGCACACATTTTCATAGTACTAACGTATATGACTATATTCTACCTTCAAAGTTTGGATTATCTATTTGTCCAATTGCTCTTTCTTTGATCTTCTTTTGGGATTGTCTGTATTATACAGACACACTGGTTTGAAGTTTGCTCCTATGTGGTTACCTCTTGCTATCTTTTTTTAGTGTATATTTATTAGCTCTCTGATCATGCTATTTTTAAGAACAAACTTTTGAGGACAGTAAAATCATACATCAACCTCATAGCAATTGTGTTGAGTGGATATCATATTCCTTTAAAGTACAAAGCAATCCAGAATTGAGTTGCTGTCCTGATGATTTTCTGCACCCATGGCTCCCTTGAGCTCTCAGCAGGGACTTTGTATCTGAACATAGGGTGTAATTCCATACATCCTAGTAGATGGTGGAGTAGTAGAAGTTAGGAGTAGAATTTCTTCATTATTACTGTCTCTTTCATCTAAATCTTGTTGTTGTGGTGGTTCTCTGGTTGCTTGCTAACATTAATTTGAGTCTACTTCTCATCAGACCTGCTCTGTCTTGTCTTCAGGAGTCCAGAGGTTGGTGAGCCACGGTCGGGTGCCTCATGCTTTCCTTTCTAGTGCTGGCCTAGACCCTTGATGATCTGCTGATGGTGCTTATCTGTGTTTCTGTAGATCCACACCGGAAACTAGTGTCTGACTACTATTTGAGGAAGTTTGTGTTGGAAACTGTAGCTATTAATGCATTTTTGAGAAAGGCACATGCCTTTGGGGGGAGGGGCTTGGGAGAACAATCAGTAAAAGTTGTATTTCTCTCATGGCTTTCTAGATGAATGTAGTTACTCTTTCATCCTCTATATACTTGTGTTAATTTTCAGTCAGTCACCCTTAGGTTATAGGACATGCCCAAGAAAGAGGACCTAATGATTTTTACTCAAGGTAGCCATAACGGTAGAGGGGAGCCATAAGAAAACTGACCACTAGCCAGGTGTGGGGGTGCAACCTTTAATATCAGCAGTCTGGGAGGAAGAGGCAGGTGGATCTCTGAGTTTGAGGTCAGCCTGGTTTACAGAGTGAATTCCAGGGCTGCACAGAGAAACCCTGTCTTGAAAAACAAAACATTAAAAAAAAAAAAAAAAAGGAAACTGGGCATTGAAGTCATGAGGAGACGGAATGTCTGGGTTCATGGGTTCTTTATGGAATAGAGTGAAATTTTAGAAGACCTCAAATACCATTACAAGATTAAAACTGACCCCTAGAGCAAAGGCCAAGATGCTGTTTAAGATTTGGAACACGTTAGCTGTGGTTTTGCAGTGGCAGTGTGTTCGGGGTGTTAAAAATTCATTGCTTTGCTTAGCATATAGTCTTTTAGGTGTGCAGTGTTTAAAACATAGGGTCTGTTTGGCAAGTTCCTATTTGTAATACCTATCAGTGTTTTTTGTCAACAAGGAACCCACCTTTAACTAGGTAATGTAAGTGTTTCTATATAATATTGAATGTTTTTAATGCGAGGAAACATAATTCTGCCAGATATTTTTTGTCTTACCTAAATGTCATTTCTGCTAAGATCACTCTATACATAGGTAGAATTAATATTACATATTACATATTTTTACTGGTTGGTTTGTAAATGTATATATTGTATATTTCTATATACCCATCAGTATCCCACTTTTCTCCTGAGTGTACACATACACATACTTTTTTTTTTTTAAAATGTGGGCTTAGCTTACTAAGGATGGCCTCAGACTCCTGAGCTGAAGGCACCCTCCTCCCGTAGCCTTCCTGAATAGCTGGGACTGTAGACATACATGTGACTTCCCCTTATTTATTGGCTTTCTGTTTCAAAATTCTTCCTTCTCCTCCTGAACCTTAGGAACTAGATAAAAGACAACTGCCAAGTAAACTGGTGTTCAAGAAAATTTTTTGTCATTGTTGAAGTTGGTGTTCTGAGAAAGGAGAGTACAGGTTAAGGTTAATAGGATCAAAGAATGTTTCAGACGTTTGCCAGCCGTGCAGAGGTGGAGGTGGCAAGTAGATTGGGTAGCAGTCCATTGTTAGAGACTGTTTGTAAAGCTAAAAAAACTCCTGTGGAAATGGCTTGATTGCTGTGCGCTCTCTGGCTTATGTCATGTCTTTCCTTTTACCCAAAGCCTAGTATATTTTCATAATTTTGTTTCAGGTTAAGCTCCTTTTCATTACTTTCCATGAAAGTTGCTATTTATGTTTTACTTTATCATCTGTTGATAAATTGAGTCACACCTTTATTTTAAATCTTACTTTTGAGGATTAATATTATTGCTATTATTTTTGAGACTCTGAAAATGTGTGTAGACCTGGTTGGCCTTGAACTCTCAGTGAGAACCAGCATACAGTGATCTACCTGCTTTTGCCTCCCGAGTGTTGAGATTAAAGGTGTGTACCATCATATCCAATGAGAACTATTATATTTTTAAATACAGGTTATATAAATTTTTCTCTCATTGAGTTACTTAAATGATATATGATACCCTAGTTTGGTACCAGAGCTTAAGTTGTGAGGAATTTTAGGGTTGTCTGGATTCTGCATGCTGGCTCCAGACACTTGGATGTGGGACTCCTTGTGATACTGCTGTACAAGTCATTTACACACTTGGTGTGCTAAAACAGCAGGGCTCTTTCCTCTAAGGAAAGGTACAGTGAGTTTATTTGAAGTCATGGGTCTAGCCAAGAGATTTATGTTTACTTTTCTGGT